AAGATACAGAAACACAACAACAACAACAGTGGAAGATAACAACAGCGCCTGTGAGAGACGTGTGTGTGTTCAACTGAACGTATCAGATCATTTATCATCTATATATTTTGTTTCCTCTCTGACCGTTTCATCATCATCCTCTTTTCCTCTTTTATGAGAAAACAAAGGAGGAAGAGTTTCTCTGAAAGATTTCAATCCGAGAAGCAGCTCAGAGACAGATGTGTAATCACAGGAGCTGCTGTGTGTTCTGTGTGTAACACACGACAGTGATGTGTAATCACAGGAGCTGTCGTGTGTTCTGTGTGTAACACACGACAGTGATGTGTAATCACAGGAGCTGCTGTGTGTTCTGTGTGTAACACACGACAGTGATGTGTAATCACAGGAGCTGCTGTGTGTTCTGTGTGTAACACACGACAGTGATGTGTAATCACAGGAGCTGCTGTGTGTTCTGTGTGTAACGCCTGTCACAGGGACCTGCCTCTGCTTACAGCACAACATATGAATCATGACATGACTTGTGTAAATGAACCACAACACAACCACACCTCACTGATTCCACGTCAGAAAACAAAGTGTGTGTGTGAGGTGACACTGGTGTTTGGGGTCAGAGGTCACACTGTGGTGTTTGGGGTCAGAGGTCACACTGTGGTGTCTGGGGTCAGAGGTCACACTGGTGATCATCTTGCTAAGTTCACCTGGTTTTTTGCTCCCACCATAAAAATGAAGAAATAAAGTTGTGTGTAAAACTCTGTGTTGTTAATGATTCACACACACACACACACACACACACACACACACACACACACACACACACACACACACACACACACACACACTGTTAACTGAGAAAGACACTTCACCTGCCGCCTGCTGGTGATGGTCAGAGGGGCCGATGGCGCGATATGGCAGCCTCGCCTCCGTCAGTCTGGCCCAGCTGTGGCTGTAGGTGCCTCCACCAGTGTGAATTTGAGAGTGAATGAATAGTGAGAAGCGCTTTATAAATGCAATCTTTATTATTTACTGCCGTATTACAGACTTTCAGACTCAGTTTGTCAAAGTCAAATGTTTTTATTTAGCACATTTAAAACAACAGCCGCGGACTAAGGTGTTGTACAATGAAGATAATAGAAATAAAAACATAGGGAGATATGATAAGAGTTAAGAAAAAGAATCATAAAATTAGATAATTTGAGTAAGAAATAAGACAAAAGTAATACAAACTCATTCTGACTTAAAAGCCAAGGAATAAAAGTGGGTTTTCATACTTGTTTTGAAAGTGTCCAAAGATGGGAGGTGCTGATGTGAAGGGGCGGTCCCAGCAAAGGCCTGATCTTTGGTCCGCTGACCTCAGCGATCTTGCAGGAGTGTCCAATTTAAAAGATCAGAAATGTATGAGGGTGCTAACCCGTGCAACGCCTTCAAAACAAATAATAAAATCTTAAAATTAATTCTAAAACTAACTGGCAGCCACTGCAATGAGAGTTAGTAACCGTGCTGCAGTGTTTTGGACCAGCTGACGGCTGACAGACTAACACCAGAGTAAAGACTATCACAGTGGTCGAGGCAGATGAAATGAAGGCACTGATATCTCTCTCAGAGCCTCTAAAAACAGAGAAATGGCTTCACTTTAGCAAGTAGCTGAAGATGAAAGAAACTGGACTTGATTACAGCATTAATCTGTTTATCAAATGTTAGATAAGAGTCAAAAATCACTCCTAGGTTCCTCGCAAAGGGTTTTTTATTCATTTCTAAAGGGCCAAAGTTGCAGTGGTCACAGGGACCAAACACACTCACCTCTGCTTTCTGTTCCTTTAGGTGAAGGAAGTTTAAAGCCATCCATGGCTTAACATCATCCAAACAATCTAGCAACGCCTTCAGAGGACTCACAGATTTACGTTTCAGTGGCAGGTAAATCTGTGAGTCGTCTGCATAACAATGAGATGCCATGTTTTTAAAAATTGAATCCACAGGGAGCATGTAAATAGAAAAGAGAACTGGACCAAGAATGGACCCCTGGGAAACCCCACAGACAGGGAGGAGTTTGAGGATGATGCATCCCCCAATCCAACAGAAGAACTTTGGTTGGACGGGTCAGATTCAAACCACGACACAGCGCTCAAGCCGAGAGATAAGAATCCCATGATGGTATCAAAGGCAGCACGGAGGTCTAACAGTATGACAATGGCAGAATCTCCCAAGTCAGTAAAAGTCAAAAGGTCATTAGAAACTTTTAAAAGTTTTAAAAGTTTTAAAAGTTTTATCTAGAAAGGTCTGGAGCTGAAGAAGGACAACTTTCTCACGAACTTTAGAAAGAGAAGGCAATTTAGAAACTGGTCTGTAGTTGGATTCAACTGCTGGATGCAGGATGCGTAATGTCTGCAGCCTGGGAGCAAATGTTCAGGAGCAGGAAACCAGATATAACCTTCAGGAAACATCGTGGGATTTTATCCTACAGGGATGTTTGATGTGAAGACGGTGGAGGAGGATGTGACGTATTCATACAACTTTATTTGTATACAGCTCCACACTGTTGTAGAAGTGTGAGTGAACGAAGGTGTTAGAATAAATATAACCCGTGTGGGCAGGTAGAGAAAGGAAAACTAGAGTCAGGACAACAGAAGGAATAACTGATGATGAGGTGGCTGTACACACTGATCGGGTACACAGAGGGATGGTGTCATATTCAGAGCTAGCACAGTGATCAGCATCCAGCTTTTATTATCAGAGGAGGAGGGGGGCAGTCTGACACTCTGGATTTAAACAAACCAATAAATGAGCTGAAGTCAGACGTCAGCACAGTCGATGCAAACAAACACTCACATCAAGACTTTCAGAAAATGAAAAAATAATGTTTCCAAAATTTAATAAAGTCCAAAAGGAAACAAGACGGGGTGAGGAGGTACTGGGAATACTGGGCAAAAACACACCATTAGACGGGTTTGGAGCCTGTTATGTATAAAGATTCTTACATCCCAGCAATGCAAGATAATGTAAATATCATAATGATAATAAAAGTAAATCTGAATTACTGTCAGAAACATTTGTACCCTTAATAACAAAGAAACAGAGGAAGGGAAACGACTTTACAGAGAAATATCAAAATACTTCAGGATGAAGAAGATACTGAAGAAGATCCAATGTGAGGAAGGTTTCCAGCAGCTGAATCTGAGCCACAAACAAGAAAAATCCACTCCACTCAGTATTAGCATGGTGTACCTAATAAATCGTCCAGTGAGTGTGAATGTAATTTTTAACAAAACCGTTTGAAAAACAAAAGTTATTTATATTTATGAACATGTTGCTTTCAGAAAAGTCACATTTCATCAAATAACTTGAGATATAGTCCACGTTTCCATGGTAACATCATCAGAGCCGTCCGATGGCCGTCCGACTGCGGTCTGGAGTGTGGGGCCTCCCTGCTGCTGCGGAGTCGGGGCGGTCTGCCTCCCCGACCGCAGGGAAAAGGGTAACACCACCTGGGTCTGGGTGCAGTTCCCCCTCCAGGGGCGGGGTACCTAGACCCGGTTGGTAGAGTACGCTTGGGGAGTGTGATCGTGTGTACAACGTCTCTTTATGTCTGTCTCCACGTTGGTTGAGTGTGGAGTGAGTGCATATGAGAGCATGAGGGTGGGAATGGATGTTTGTGTCTGTGTGTGCCTGTATGTCTGTGTCTATATGTCAGGTTGGGTATCAGACATCACCTCTCTGGGGACATCTCAGGCCCTCCAAGGTTTGGAGGCCTATCTCCCCCACCACCACTTCCCCTGCCAGTGGCGGACCCCTCAGACATCGGTGCGTTGGTGTTCTTTGTGTCGGGGATGGGCGTCCAGGTACACACCGGCTCACTCCTTGGCGGCCGCTTATCGGGGCCTGGAGCCTGGGGCTCGCTCGGGCCACTTCGGAGGTGGGGTGCCCCCGGCCTCTCGGCCTGGGGCTCGGTCACTCAGGCACAGCTGGCTGCCGGCGGAGCTCACGGGCGCGTCACTGCAACTCCCCCTGGCTTCTGCTCCGCGGCTGCTGAGTGAGCCCTCATCTGGGACTCTCCTCAGCTCTTTCTGGGACAGTGGCGCGGCTGCCCCTCTGTTGGTCTTCCTTGGTCTCTTGTGTTCTGGGGGCCTCTGGATGTCTGGAGTTTTGATCTTCTCCATACCTGCTTCATGCCCTGGAGGACGGGGCTGTGGCCCCCCCACACCCTCTAGCAGATCATTACATGAAGGAACCTTTTAAAAACAAGCGCGTCCATGCTCACAGGTGTACACACGGGTGATCACACCCACAAACTACACCCTTTTTGGCTCCTACCTCAAAGCACACTGTGTGCTGTTGATCTTATGTGCTGCACAATAATGTTTAACATTTAGTATTTACTGTCATATTCCCATATATCATTGTGATGTTGTTTATTCTATTACTCTTGTTCTCTTCTGCTTGTTTTCTTTTTTCTTTCTCAGCAGGTGATCCAGGTGATCGATATATGCATTTTTTTTCTCTGCCCGTTCTGTTGGTTTTTGTCTTTTGCCCTTCTCCCCCGTCCATCTTATCAGCTGTTTCTCTTTCCCTCTTTCTTTCTCCCCTTCTTTCCCCCAGTCAAGTCTGTCCCGTATTCAGCAAGTGAAAATAAAATAAACAATAAAAGGTGAATCAAATGGACCATTACGGCAAGGCTGGGATGGTCAGTTTGGTAAAGTAAATCCGTTGGGCATCTTTCTTTGTCTTTAGACAACAATTCTGATGCAAAAGAGCCAAACGGGACAGGCAAAAAAAAAACCCATCAGAGCAGCGTAACAACGGGAAAACCACGCCGACGGGTTGTTGGGAAACATGAAGTGAGCTGCAGCTTGGGGGAGGCTCAGAGGGGACTATGTACTAATGGGGGAGGGGGAGGGGGCGTTGTAGAGCTGGGGGGTCAAATATATGTAGGAACAGGAAGGGGTGTGTTTGGGGGCGTGGTCCTGCTCCTGAAATTCAGATAGTTTATCTCCAATTAATAAAGTCCCTCAAAGGCTTCCATACAGAGCAGACACGCTGGGCTCTGATTGGTCCTCACATGTAGACACTGTCTTCATGCTGGGAGGAAACTGTAGGACTGAAGGGAACTGTGGACAGCAAGAAGATTCATGTTACTAACGGTGATCCCCTCAGAGCAGAGCAGACCTCACACACAACCGTCCTTCATCACTGACGACACAAAAGATTTTTAACCTCAGAGATGATCGATGATAGTTTAGGTTCTAATGAAGCTGTGAATGATGAGAGAGTTAAACACACTGAGCTGATGACGCGAATATTTATTTCAACTCCATCCACCAGCCTGCAGTTCCTCTGGTGTCCAGCAGAGGCAGCAATGAGTCAGTCGTCATAGACTCCCATATTACAATAAACTTGTTCACAGCCTGATACACACAACAGCTGTTTAAATCACGTTTTTGCATTATTGGGGGCGTGGCCTCTGTGACTGACAGGTGGATGGTGACGCAGGTGGCTGTAGCTGCTAGCTTCACCTTTATAATGACATCACAACACCATGGCTCACTGAAATAACAGAGTGCCAGAGGAGGCGGAGCCAGAGTAAAACTGAGCTCCAAATAACTAACAGCATGGAGGTCAAACTCAGAGAGAGCTTCACAGCCTTTCTATTGTTTCTATTGTTTCTACTTTGTCTATCTGATCACTTCCTGTTTGTACTGCGCGCTCAGACGAGTTGCTGGTACTGCAGTCTGTACTGTGAACACTGATCACTGAAGTGCTTTTACCATCAGGGTCAGAGTGTGCCTACCATAGAGGGGCTCTTCCTCCGGTTTCTTCTCCTCCTCCTCTTCTTCGTTCCTCCTCATCGCCACATAAATGTTCTCCTCCTTCTCCTCCTCCTGACCTGTGAGCAGATTATCACTCAGTCAGGTCTCCTTATCAACGATCTGCTGTGGAGCCAGAGCTGTCTCTGATTGGCTGCCATACCTGTGGTTTTCTTCCTCTGAACCCTCCTCTTCCTCAGGATGAAGACCACGATGAAGAAGAGCAACAGAACCAGCAGGACGACGCAGACGGACACTGAAGACACCACATGGCTGCTGCTGCGGTCTGAGGACACAGAGACACAGCTGATCTTCACATCACAGCTGATGACGTCATGTGGTGGCAGAGGGAGCAGCTGAACATCAGCAGCTCTCCTGGTCTGAGTTTCTTAGGTGCTTACACCGTGGTTGTGAAGCAGCATTAGTTATACAGGTGAGCTAGCAGATGGTCACATGACTCGCACAGACTCACAGATCGTTACAATGAAGGCATGTTTGTGAGTGTTTCACAGTGATGTGTGTTATTGTGTAACAGTTGTGATCAGGCATCCACACAATGTCCACCTGCACACAGGTTATCTTCATCATTATCATCATCAAGAAGTGTGTGTCATTGGTCAGTTCTTTTTGGGCTGTTTCCTGTTTTACTTTGTTTCTCTGGTTTCCTGGTGGACATATACCTGCTGCACTGTATGTGTCGTGGTTCTGGGTCGCTGAGTGTTTTTGGTTTTTGGTGTTATTATTACTGATCTTGGATTCCATCATGTTTTTGGACTACCAGTGTTTTGGTTTCTGTTTTCTACTTTGCTATGCAGTCTGTGCATGCCGTGTTTCCTGTTTTAATTTGAAAGTCTGTGTCTCATGGCACTGTTTCTGGTTTTGCTTCCCCTGGTCTCATGTGTGATTACTCCCAGCTGTGCTCTCCTCCTGTGCCCTCGTTATCCCTCAGTGTATTTTAGCTCAGTGTTGCGTCGTACCCTCGTTTTTCTGCGCGCACTCTCGTCGAGTCCCGGTTGTTTTTTCCCGGAGTGAGTCTCTTAGTTTCTAGGTTCCTGTTTGAAGTCTAGTTTCTAGTTCTGCATTTGAGGTTTTGGTTTGTTTTTCTCATTTTTATTGTTTTAAGAGTTGTTCAGCAACAAAACTGTGCCCTAAGTCCCCCCCACCCCCCTGTTTCTGAGTCCTGCGTTTTGGGTCCTTCATCTTACCTGCAACACAGCACTGAACTATGCGACCACGCAGCGGACGCAGCGGCATTCGCTCCATCGGAGGAGCTCTGGGAGGACATTATTTACACTGTGAATAAGCTATGCAACCAATGGCTGAATCATCCTCATACAGTACTTTTTGGCTCCACACCCTCCACCTTCACCCTCCAGCTACGGCTGCTCACCTGCTCCAACTGCTGGAGGATTTCTTGCCCGGCCCGCCGGATGTAACGCTACCCCGTCTGTCGGTTCCTCCATCTTCCCAGAGAAAGCGGTGTTCACGCCGCCACTACTCGTCGCTCGCTGAGCAAACCCTGGTGGTGAGTGAAAGTTTTTGGCACACTCAGCCTGGATTAATTTCTACAGTCAGTCTACGCTGAGCCTGTTAATTCTGTATCAGTCATTCCAGAGTCTGTGAACTCCCGATGTGAGGATTTCACTCTTAATTATCATTGTACGGTTCCCCGCACCTCGAAATTAGATAGCAAGACCACAAAGGTGCAAAAATAAAAAACAATATACATAAAGAAAATAAACAATATAAAAACACTATATACACAATGTATAAGCTAAAGGGAACATTGTGTATACAAGGGGGTGCATACACAATCATATAATATGATAAATAGGGTGGGCCGTGGTCATTAAGGATAGGAATGGTAAGGTATTGCACAGGAGCAATAGCAGCGACAGAGTGCATGTATTGGAGAAGTCTGTTCTGACAGCCCACGGGAAGAAGCTGCTGGTTTAGCACCTGATGGATCTGAACGTTTTTCCAGAGGGCAGGATGTTGAAGAGGTGGTGGTTAAGATGGAGGCGGTCCTTTATAATCGCCCTGGCTCTGGAGACATCTTGAGCTGGCAATTAAGTCCAGGGAGGAGAGTGGACAGCCGATCACCTTCTCTGCAGTTCTGATGACCCTCTGGAGTCTCTTCTTGTTAGCTGTTGTGCAACCAGCGTACCACACTGTAATGGCGTGCACCAGCACGCTCTCGATAGTGGCTCAGTAGAAGGACACCAGGAGATCAGTCTGCAGCCTGTTCCATCTCAGAACCCTCAAGACGTGGAGGCGCTGCTGGGCTTTGTTCACCAGGGCTGATGTGTTTGTGGACCAAGATAGGTCCTTAGATATGTGGGTGCCGAGGAACTTAAAGGAGGGCACCCTCTCCACATAGTCACCTTTTATGGAGAGAGGAGGGGATCAGTTCTTGTTCTACAGAAGTCCATGACCACTTCCTTTGTTTTCTTGGTGTTTAGGGTGAAGTTATTGTAGCTACACCATTCGGTCAGTCGCTGGACCTCATCTCTGTAGGCGGTGTCATCATCGTTGGTGATGGGGTGCATGGTAGTGATGTGTCCTGTGTGTCGAAGCTTCGAAGCGTCTGTCGGGTAATCTCAGGGGAGTTTTCGTGAAGCGCGTATCAAGGCTTGCTTTGATTACGTGTGCAGTGACGTTCGAGCCCTCGCGGGCATCCGTACCATGTGACTGTTTCAGGAACTGGCTCTCCAGTTTGCGCCACATTTGAAATAAAATGGGCAGCAAAACACAGCTGATTCCCCCATCACGTTGTGTTGTGGAATTGGATTATCCCTTTTTTTGCTCCTCCCCTTTTGTGAGTATGGACGCTACCTCTCTTTGCTCTTTAATGCTTTGCTTCTTTTATTGATTTTCATTGATTATTATGCTGATTTTTTCCCTTTTTTCCGTGTGAGCTTACCTGCGATAGCTTCTGGACACCTATAGATCATTAGGACTAAAGTGTTCTTAACAGAAACAGCAACATTTTTATAGTTACCTTGTCCTCAGCGCTCCGTGTGTCTGTGGCCTAGACACAGCTGAAGCCTGATTACAACGTCTGGGCACCGAGCAGCCTCAATAGCCTGGAAAGGTGCTAACCGCTAGGCTAACTAGCAACAAGATGCCTTCCCTCTCCACAGATGACTACCACAGCCTCCTGCAGAAGATTGCAGTACTGGAGACAAAAATTCATCGCTTAGAAGTAAACGTGGAGGTAAATGGACTGTGTGGAAATGAAACAACCTTGCCTTTGATTCAAAACAATGGCGACGAGCAAGCTAGTACACAGCTAAGGAGCACAGATAACATGACCAAGAAAGTAGACTCTGTGCATTATTATAAATCCTCAAGTGATAATCCCCCCTTGGACTGTACTGGTGCAAAACCAAGACATAAATCATGTCTCCTGGAAGGGGGAGGACGTATCACGGGCAGAGCACAGCGAGCTGAAATCTCTGAAACCGACTGGCCTTCACTTCCTACGAGACAGAGAAGCTCTTCTACCCCTGTATACGGGAGGAAACAGGACTGGACAACCGTGAACAGGAAGGTTAACAACAAACCTCCAAAACAACTGAATGTGAAACTGCAGAACAGATTTGCTCCACTAGCAAAGGACCCTGGATCTATATCGGACAACCATCCATCTAAAAGCAGCGAAATAAGGTCTGAAAATCTGTTGAAAAGTAAAAGACCACAGGGAAAGCTAAAGGCTAGGCCTGAAACTCTGATTGTGGCTGACTCTGCCGTAAAGGATGTACAAAGGATTTGTATCAACAGGTAACTTCACATCTGAGCAGACAAGTATCACATGTGGAGTTCCCCAAGGGAACTCCACAGCCGTCAGTTCTGTTTCCAGCTCAGTCACCAGTTCAGTTATTAGCCCAACCGCCTGTTCAGCCACAACCATCATCAGCTTAGAGCTCAGCCTAACTCTCTCAGCCGCCTTCAGCTGCTTCACCTTGGAGCTCGGCTGTCTCAGCTTCCTGCCTCTGCCGAGAGCTTGGGCGAGTCAACCCAGCTACCTCTATCTTCAGCTGGAAGCTCTGGTGAGCTCATTCAGACAGCTGAGGACTGCATCTGGCTGGCACTGCCCGGACAGACTGCCTGCATTGGACAGCCCCAGCCGCTGCTGTCAAGTGAGGCTGTGTGCAGGCAGGAGTGGTGGTGCGGGTACCCAAAGTGCAGACACTCGGAGGCAAAATGTGAACTCAAAACCAGCTTTAATGCTGATCTCAAACGTAACACAACTAAAAACCACAAAATAAACTCACGCAGGCAGCCAGACCACAGTATAGATAAGGGTAGAGAGATGAGATAAGGGTAGAGAGATGAGATAAGGGTAGAGAGATGAGATAAGGGTAGAGAGATGAGATAAGGGTAGCTCGCGACACGGACAAAGGAAAACACAGGGCTTAAATACACAGAGGGAGCAATCAGTGAATGGGAGACACAGCAGGGACGAATCAGTGCTAACAAGACAGGGAAGCAAAACCTGATACAATAACGTGAGACACGGACTTCAAAGTAAAACAGGAAACATAACACAGAGACGCAGACTTGACAAGGGGAGACAGCAACTAAGGAACACAGACGGAAAACAGAAAGCAGGACTCTAAAGAAGAAACTAAAAGACTAGAAAAGATAAATAATATCAAAAGCAAAAATCAATAATTATGAAAACTCAAAACTCTGGTTTGAAGACCCAGGTCTCCTGACAGCTGCGTCTCAAGCCAGCTGTGTGCGCTGTGCAGCAGCAGTTAGCGTAGCCTCAGCCAGAGGTCTCCACACCTGCTGGCCCTGCGTCTGTCTCCGCTGGGCACTCTGAGGGTCCAAGGGGCCCGTCCAGCTGTCGGAGGCTCAGGAGAGTCCATCAAGCCATCAGCGCAACCACATCCATCGCCTGCAGCAGCCATGTTGCCGGCTGCTCATCTGCCAGGGGCTGCTCCACCTCTTCTCTGCCAGAGGTCCCCACACCTGCTGGCCCTGATACGCTGTCACCTTCTGGACCGTTTTCATGTCACCACTGCTTTCTGCAAGGTTGGCATCTGGACTTGCTTTGCCTAAGCCGCCGCTTTCCTCCCGGCCAGCCCCCTGAACTGTTTTGTCTCTGTCGTTGGCCTCTTGGTCGACGTCCTGAAGTGTTCTGTGCTTTGAGGGTCTCGAAAAGCGCTATATAAATGCAATCCATTATCCATTCATCCATCCATCCATTCGCTTCCACTTATCCTTTTCAGGGTCGCGGGGGCGCTGGAGCCTATCCCAGTCTGTCGCAGGGCCAACACACAGGGACAGACAACCATTTGCACTCACATTCATTCGTACATTCGCACCTAGTAATTAACCTATCCCCACAAGCTGCACGGTGGTTAGCACTGTTGCCATTTGACCGCAGAACTGAAGAAGCTTCTCGGATGAAACGTCTTCTTAAAGAAGTCCAGACGCTTTTCTTTCCAAGCTCCTTAGACTACGATCACCTGGATGATTGAGAACCTTCACAGACATGTCCTTCAACGCACATATTAAACAAATATGTAAGACTGCGTTCTTCCATTTGTGCAACATCTCTAAAGTTAGAAATATCCTGTCTCAGAGTGACGCTGAAAAACTAGTTCATGCATTTATTACTTCCAGGCTGGACGACTGTAATTCATTATTATCAGGAAGTCCTAAAAACTCCCTGAAAAGCCTTCAGCTGATCCAAAATGCTGCAGCAAGAGTCCTGACAGGGATTAGAAAGAGAGAGCAGATTTCTCCTGTTTTGGCTTCCTGTTAAATCCAGAATTCAAAATCCTGCTCCTCACATACAAGGTCTTAAATAATCAGGCCCCATCTTATCTTAATGACCTTGTAGTACCATATCACCCTATTAGAGCACTTGGCTCTCGCTCTGCAGGCCTACTTGTTGTTCCTAGAGTATTTAAAAGTAGAATGGGAGGCAGAGCCTTCAGTTTACAGGCCCCTCTTCTGTGGAACCAGCTTCCAGTTTGGATTCAGGAGACAGACACTATCTCTACTTTCAAGATTAGGCTTCAAACTTTCCTTTTTGCTAAAGCATATAGTTAGGGCTGGACCAGGTGACCCTGAATCCTCCCTTAGTTATGCTGCAATATTCTTTTTTTTTTTACATGCTCAATGTATCATGTTTGGCATGTCAAGTGTACAGCACTTTGTGTTCAGCTGGTGGCTGATCTGAAAGCGCTATATAAATAAATTGCTTGCTTGCTTGCAATAGACGTAGGCTGCCGGGGATTCCCATGATGCATTGAGTTTTTCCTTTCCAGTCACCTTTCTCACTCACTATGTGTTAACAGACCTCTCTGCATTGAATCATATCTGTTATTAATCTCTGTCTCTCTTCCACAGCATGTCTTTATCCTGTCTTCCTTCTCCCACCCCAACCAAACACAGCAGATGGCCCCGCCCCTCCCTGAGCCTGGTTCTGCAGGAGGTTTCTTCCTGTTAAAATCATGCAAATGGTCCAGAATGCTGCTGCTCGCCTGCTGACAGAGACAAACGTGAGCACATTACCCCTGTTCTTGCCTCTGTCCACTGGTTGCTTGTCCATCTTAGAATTCATTTGAAAATTTTATTGTTTGCTTTTAAAGATTTAAATGGCCTGGCTCCTTCTTACCTGTCAGAACTTCTACACCTGTCTCTCAGATTCAGCTGACCAGTCGCTCATCGCTGTCCCCATGACTAGATTGAAACACCGGGGCACTGAGCTTTCACTGTTGTGGCCCCCAGATCATGGAATAAGCCCCCCTCCATATTAGGTTGGCCCCAACACTTGAAATCTTCGAATAACTTTTCAAAAACAACTTTTTTCTGAGGCTTTTTAGGAGTCATAGTCAGCTTGTAGTCAGTCTTAGTCAGTTTTTGGTTTCTTTTAATCTTCTTTACTTAGTTAATTCTATTTATTGTATATTTTATTCATGAATTAATATTTAATGATTCATTTTTATTTTTTTCATGTATTTATTTATTTTGTTATTTAATTTTCTTTGTCTGTCTAATGTATGGTTTTAAAATCTGACTGTTTTTACTGGAAACCACTTTGGTCAACCGTGCTGTTTTTACAGTTTTCCCCCTTTATCTCTTTTATTGAGACAGCCATGCTGTTTTTAATCTGCTCTATAAATAAAGTTGGATTGGAAGTACTGCATGGTAGAAATATACCTGACTCTAATAATATGTACTGCTTGGTGAAGTGACATGTACATATGTACGTATTTGTACACGTATGACAGTAAAAGTGTGGTACTTTGTGTACCACCCTCCTGTGTCTTCAGTCTCTGCAGTGTGTTCCTCTCAGCAGGATGTGATGCAATAACAAAGACAGGAAGTCTAATGGCTCACCTGTCACCTGCAGCAGGAAGTCTTTGGTCTGCAGTCTCGACCCAGTCTTGTCAAACACCTCCAGCGTGTAGTTTCCGGAGTCTTGGGTCTGAAGTTGGCTGAACTCGAGCGAGCCGTCAGGGAGCATCGAGCAGCGTCCGTGGGAGCACGTGCTCCGGTTCCAGTTCAGCAGCAGGTGAGGGATCTGAGTCCACCTGACGTCGTACCCGCGTGCCCTCGGGTCCCCCTGCAGGCCTGAGGCCAGCATGACTCTCGTGCTGCTGTTGGCAGACACTCTGATGATGTCTGCAGCGCCAGCTGGGGTCAAAGGTCACAAACATTTCATTTTCAGTCTCGTTATAACCATTTATGCAAACACTACATTACCCATGAACCCCTGCTGCTGCGCTTATAAATCAGACCAGCATCTGATTGGTTAGATTTTTAGGGTATTTTTGTAGTTTTGTGTTCTGCAGACACAGAGCTCTGTGATTGGCTGTCATCAGAGAAGTGCATCTTGGGAGTTGTAGTTGTAGTAACCTGTTCTTTCATGTTTTGCTGAAATCTAATGATCCCAGTTCATCGACTCATTTTCCCCTCACCCCCAGGGTGGGGGTACCTGAGGAGTCTTCCTGTTAAAATGGAGTTTTTCCTTTCCGCTGTTGCCAAGTGCTCGCTCATAGGGGGTCGTCTGATTGTTGTGGTTTTCTCTTTATCATTGTAGTGTCTTTACCTTAAAATGTAAAGCGCTTTGAGAAAAAACTAGAAACTGAGAACTAGAAAAACTTGGAAGCTACCAGAGAAACATGCAAAGACACAGCAGGAGAGAACACAACCAAGAACAAGGCAAGACTGACAATAAATAGAGATCGAAAATGTGACGTCATTCAGGGGTAAAACCGCAAAGGATTCTGGGAACTCGTGCCAAGAGGTACTAGCGCACGCAGGCTTTCACATGAAAACAGTCACACAGCGATAAAAAGAAACACAAAAATGGCAGGAAGCTGTTGTATTATTAACTGCAGTAGCCGGTCGCATGACAGCCACGGGAAGCCGACAGTAAAGAGATCGTTGTTATCGGATTACGTCGTTGAAGAGAAATTGTTCGAGCCATGTTTCCGAAGTAACAAAGAGGCGACGAAGGACACACCCCACCCATCCTTCAAATTCGGGGAAAAGGAGGACGCATTTGTCGGCTGCATCTGGTGGAGTCTACGGATTTGGACAGCCTTCGTCGTGTTGCTGTGACGTAATCGGAGTACAAATGCGGCCTCAGGAGGATGCAGCCCATGAATTTGGGCACGACCACAGACACGAGAGCAGGAACAGGAAACAAGCTACCAGAGAAAAACTGAACCACACTGAGCTTCGAGCCATCGTAAAATGCAGCAGTCACACTGAACTGAGCACGCTGGGTGACCGTGACAGGAAGCTTTATTATGATTCTCTGTATGTAGCACAGTCCTACTTTTACCTGGGACGAGTGACCGTGAACGTATTAGCTGCACGTTTAGCTTCCTGTCAGCTTTAGGATCGAAGGTTTTAGCTCCATTGGTCTGATGGTGTTCCTGTCAGAGCTCTGAGGTCTGCTGCTCATGTTTCATATCAGAACTGTGTGGCGGAGGAGCGGTGCAGTGAGCTCAACGGGGCGGTGCTGGAGAGGCAGGTGGGAACACAGCTGATGGAGTTTGGGGCTGATGACGTCTTTGCTTCCCCTTTTTAGTGAGACGGGAGAGGAGCGGAGGCGAGGCTGGGATCAGCTGAGACGGGAGCTGTCCAGACGGTGGACTGTCAAAACTAATAACCAAAAACCTTCTGCAGTAACGTGCTGTGTGTGTGCATGTGTAAAGTGCATCCCACAAACTGTTTCAGGTGTTTGCTGAACACTCGTTTCTGCCTTTAACCTCGACGGCCTGTCACGATTGGCTCTGTGAGCTGTTTGATCATTGGCTGCGTCTGTGATCAGGGTCATTAATAATCTGAACCTTTGTGTTTGTTCAAAGAAGCCGAGGTCACTGACCGTCACTCTTCATCATCATCATCAGTAACCACACCACCACCAACATGGCTGCAGGCTCCGCCCCCTCAGCTGTCAGTCACTGTAAAAAGGAAACAGACACTTTAAGTGGTCAGAGAGTGTGTTTTTATAAATACAGCTGCAGTGTCTGTGGCTCTTCCTGGTCATGTGACCTAAACCACAGCTCTCATAGGTCACTGCTCACATCTGCTTTCTGCTCTGAGCCTGTGGTCAGTCTGTGTTATATTCAGAGCTGCTTCTCCTCAGATGACCCTTTGAGTGTTTGGTAAATGGACTGGTTCTTATACAGCTCTATCTGAGCACTCAAAGTGCTGTACACAACTCGTTCACTCACCCAATCACACCAGCACTTCTCTAAGTTTGTAGTGCTGTCTAACTAACATTAATACACACATGGATTCTTGGCCAAGGATATTTGGCATGCAGGCTGAAGCAGACTGGGATCGACCCACCAACCTTCCAGTTAGTAGCTGCTCTACCACCTGAGCTACAGCCACCCCTGTAGCTTGTGTCCTTAAAGATCACTCAAGGTAACCTCAGCCTGTACGTGACATCACCCGCATCACCTGGTCTAATGGTGACACCCTGCTACCATCCATCCATCCATCATCCATCCTTCCATCCATCCATCCTTCATCCATCCATCCATCCTTCTTCCATCCATCCATCCATCCATCCTTCTTCCATCCATCATCCATCCTTCCATCCATCCATCCTTCATCCATCCATCCATCCATCCATCTTTCATCCATCCATCCATCCATCCAACCTTCATCCATCCGTCCATCCATCCATCCATCCAACCTTCATCCATCCGTCCATCCTTCATCCATCCATCCATCCATCCATCCATCCATCCATCCTTCATCCATCCTTCATCCATCCATCCATCCTTCATCCATCCATCCATCCATCCTTCATCCATCCATCCATCCTTCATCTATCCTTCATCCATCCATCCATCCATCCTTCATCCATCCATCCATCCATCCTTCATCTATCCTTCATCCATCCATCCATCATCCATCCATCCATCCATCCTCCATCCATCCATCCATCCATCCATCCATCCTTCATCCATCCATCCATCCTTCATCAATCCATCCATCATCCATCCATCCATCCATCCATCATCCATCCATCCATCCATCATCCATTCCTTCATCCATCCATCCTTCATCCATCCATCCTTCATCAATCCATCCATCATCCATCCATCATCCAACCTTCATCCATGCATCCATCCTTCCATCCATCCTTCTTCCATCCATCCATCCATCCATCCATCCTTCTTCCATCCATCCATCCATCCTTCTTCCATCCATCCATCCTTCATCCATCCATCCATCCATCCATCCATCCTTCTTCCATCCATCCTTCCATCCATCCATCCTTCCATCCATCCATCCTTCATCCATCCATCCATCCATCCTTCTTCCATCCATCCATCCATCCATCCATCCAACCTTCATCCATCTGTCCATCCTTCATCCATCCATCCATCCTTCATCCATCCATCCTTCATCCATCCATCCTTCATCCATCCATAATCCATCCATCCTTCTTCCATCCATCCATCCATCCATCCATCCATCCTTCTTCCATCCATCCATCCATAATCCATCCTTCTTCCATCCATCCATCCATCCATCCTTCTTCCATCCATCCATCCATCCATCCATCCTTCTTCCATCCATCCATCCATCCATAATCCATCCTTCTTCCATCCATCCATCCATCCTTCATCCATCCATCCATCCATCCATCCATCCTTCTTCCATCATCCATCTTTCTTCCATCCATCCATCCATCCATCCTTCTTCCATCCATCCATCCATCCATCCATCCTTCTTCCATCCATCCATCCATCCATCCTTCTTCCATCCATCCATCCATCCTTCATCCATCCATCCATCCATCCATCATCCAACCTTCATCCATGCATCCATCCTTCCATCCATCCTTCTTCCATCCATCCATCCTTCTTCCATCCATCCATCCATCCATCCTTCATCCATCCATCCTTCATCCATCCATCCATCCATCCATCCATCCTTCTTCCATCCATCCATCCATCCATAATCCATCCTTCTTCCATCCATCCATCCATCCATCCTTCATCCATCCATCCATCCTTCTTCCATCATCCATCCTTCTTCCATCCATCCATCCATCCATCCATCCATCCATCCATCCTTCTTCCATCCATCCATCCATCCATCCTTCTTCCATCCATCCATCCATCCATCCATCCATCCTTCTTCCATCCATCCATCCTTCTTCCATCCATCCATCCTTCCTTCATCCTTCTTCCATCCATCCATCCATCCTTCTTCCATCCATCCTTCATCCATCTATCCATCAATCCATCCATCCTTCATCCATCCATCCATCCATCCATCCATCCTTCATCCATCCATCCATCCATCCATCCTTCATCCATCCATCCATCCATCCATCATCCATCCTTCATCCATCCATCCATCCATCCTTCATCCATCCTTCATCCATCCATCCATCCTTCATCCATCCATCCTTCATCCATCCATCCATCCTTCATCCATCCATCCATCCATCCATCCTTCATCCATCCATCCATCCATCCATCCTTCCATCCTTTCATCCAACCATCCACCCATCTTTCCATCCATCCATCCATCCATCCATCCTTCATCCATCCATCCATAATCCATCCTTCTTCCATCCATCCATCCATCCTTCTTCCATCCATCCATCCATCCATCCATCCATCCTTCCATCCATCCATCCTTCATCCATCCAGCCATCCTTCTTCCATCCATCCATCCATCCTTCATCCATCCATCCTTCATCCATCCTTCTTCCATCCATCCATCCATCCATCCATCCTTCATCCATCCATCCATCCATCCTTCTTCCATCCATCCATCCATTCATCCATCTTTCTTCCATCCATCCATCCTTCTTCCATCCATCCATCCATCCATCCTTCTTCCATCCATCCATCCATCCATCCTTCATCCATCCTTCATCCATCCATCCATCCATCCATCCTTCATCCATCCTTCATCCATCAATCCATCATCCATCCATCCATCCATCCTTCCTCTGTTCGTTTATCCTCTGGACACTCTCAGGTAAGATTAATCATCTCTCCTCATATGAGGGTGAACCCGGGTCGGGTCCTGGTGCCAGACCTGAGAGGGGGTCTCAGCAGTGAGCTGTGGTGGCTCGGAGATCATCCATGGGGATAAAACCAGTATGAAAGCTGAGTCTGGGTGCCATGGCAACAGCACCTCAGAGTGACAAAAAGCCAGCAGTGACAAACATAATCATAATATAAATATAGCCATGATGTAAATGTAATATAATGTAACATAGAAGTTGAAGTTGTGCACAGTGTGGGCTGCTTGTGTGTGGAGGGTCCGCCCTGCAGTCGGTGAGAGGCATAAGATGAAGCTCGCTGCGGTCAGAGGGGAAGTAAACTCACGCTGAGACTGAAATGGGACCTGTGGGCCTGCGGTGTCACTCTGACACATGAACAGGAAGTGAGCCCTGCAGCATGCACGGAGCATGCTCCGTGATGCTGCTGCTGAGCCCTCGCTGGTTTCAGTCTATTCAGGTGAATGTGTAGAGACTGCCCCCCCCTCACCGTGCTGTGAGACTGCAGAGGGGTCTCAATGCCCCTGTTCGATGACTGCCCCCACACCTCAGTGTGTATTAATAAACCACAGCCTCTCTCTCAGACATGAGGGGAAGTGAGAGTGGAGCGTGTGGTCAGCGCTGCTCGGCAGCATCAGCCCTGTGACAGGAATGTCTCCACACTGCGTCCGTGTCTCACAGTCACAAACATCTGTGCACAGCTGTGCTCTGTCTTCAGGGTCGGAGGTCAGAGTTAGCATCATGCTATCAGCTCTGTGCATTTATGGGAATCAGCTGATCGAGACTGAGGTTTGAACACAGCTGGATCTGTGTGTGTTTGAAATGTGTTGATAGTAAAAGCACTGCAGTGATGATGGGACGACCTTCCCCGGATCCCTCACAGCTCAGCCCAACATCTGGAACATCTGGGCTCTGCTGTTCGATCAGGTCCAGCTGCAGAGCTGCTGATGACGACTGTCTCTGAGACACGTCTCCTTCATCCCTGTAACCGTGGAAACCTGAACTCATGTCAAACTGAGAGCAGAGAGTCGGCCACACTGATGTTACCGACGCGTTCTAAAGGTTCTTTAAAGAACGCAGAACAAATGAGACATCGTGTCATCACAGCATCAGTGATCCCTGCAGGAAACCAGCACAGAGGTGGATCCAGACAGGAAGCAGTTAAAGACACCCTGAAGGACTTTGGCAAAGGGTTAATGTTCAGGAAGAGAAGAAGAAGAAGCTCCCTGACGTCGTGTTCACGTTTCATCTACGTTACTTTCTTTCTTTAGTTTCTAGCTCTGTAGTCTCTTTCTCCTCAGTGACCACAGCACTTCCAGCCTTGTTCATTATATTTTATCATGGTGCCCTTGTACACAGCCCCACAGTGTTTCCTGTAACTCAAACTTCTTATTTTGGTTTCTACACTTTTGCATCTTTGTTGTTTTGCTACCTAATTTTGCCGTGAAAGCAACTGCACAATGACAACACTTAAGTTTATACTTTTATTGATTCACAGTTTGTCAGTCCAGTTTCTAGTTGACTGTTTCAGTTGAAATGTTTGCATTTAATTATTTATTAGTTGACATAATAAAGTCTGACTCTTCTTTATAACCATGTACAGGGTGTTTAGTCCAAAGCAGAATTAATAAACGCTGTCGGTCATGTGGACGTCCGTTTGTCAGACAGATGAAGTTGAACCTGCTCAGACTCACAGTGCTGTCACACTTCATCACAGGCTCCTGCTATCCGGTTGGTCAGTGATGACGCGACGAATCCTACTTCCGGGTCTAAAGTAGTCTGCGTTTAATATGGCTTTTGTGTTGTTAACATGTTTAATGTTATGTATTTTCTTCTATTTGATCTCAAAAAGCTCCTAAAACAGTCAGTGATCACTGTTGACCTCCCTCGGCTTTTATTACCGCTAATCATTTATTTAAGCTCAGTTTTTAAATGGTAAATGGCCTGTATTTATATAGCGCTTTACTAGTCCCTAAGGACCCCAAAGCGCTTTACATATCCAGTCACCCACCCATTCACACACACATTCACACACTGGTGATGTCAGCTACATTGTAGCCACAGCCACCCTGGGGCGCACTGACAGAGGCGAGGCTGCCGGACACTGGCGCCACCGGGCCTTCTGACCACCACCAGTAGGCAACGGGTGAAGTGTCTTGCCCAAGGACACAACGACCGAGACTGTCCAAGCCGGGGCTCGAACCGGCAACCTTCCGATTACAAGGCGAACTCCCAACTCTTGAGCCACGATCGCCCGTTTAAAACCTTAGGATGTAACTACAGCCCAGCCCATGCAGCAGTATATGAATGACTAACCTCGTGTTGTGGATGGATTATCTCAGTTGTTCTCCTGGCTGAAGTTTGGTCCTTTTACAGCATCCTGCCATGCGATTACATTTGTTCCTGACCACCGAGAACACTCACGTTAACTTTTATCGAGTGGAAAAAAAGTTAGCTTGTTTATATTATGCTAACATAGCTGTGTCGCTAGCGGTCACGTAGCACATCATTATATACCAGCTAGCCCAACTTCAGTAACCCTACAAACGTCACTGCTGTTTAGTTTTCTGTCTTCATTTATGTTGGAAGTGATAACAGAGCTGTACGTTTTAATTTGTTTCCAAAACCCCGCAGTCAGGACATGCTATATTGTATTTAGATAGAAGCTAGCGAGCTAACTCCCTGCTAACTTCTAACTCCGTTAAATGTCATAAATTCCGTTTTCATGGATGCCTGGATGCTAAACTCAATTGTTACACCTGGTAGAGCAGAACGCTGATCATTTTATTAAAGATGAAAGACTTTAGACAGTTTTTCAACTCTCAGTAATGCCATAGTGATCGTTTGATATATGGACCTGCAGCGGAGTTTAGACCCAGACACGGCCAGTGACGTCAGACTGAACAACCGGATTAGATCTTATTAGATTGTAGTTCCTTCTGTAAAAACTCCAAATGATTCCAGTTTCCTAAACTCTGGTTTCTGTCTGAAGTGTCTGAGTGTGCTGACGGTGGCGTGAAGGCTGGTGTTAGTCGTGAGGATCGTTTCCTCACACAGACTCTGAGCCTCTCTGAGAACATGCCCAACTCCTCCAAACAGCCACAGGAGTACATGAAGAAGAAGAAGAGATGATGGAGGTCCTACCTGTGAGAGTCAGAGGGTGTCAAAGAGCAGGTGAGCTGCAGAGGATCAGTGTGAAGGTCAGACAGCAGCGCAGTGACAGAGTGAGGAAGAAAGCGCCCACAGTTTCACGTCTGCACATCAAAGTCAGTGCCGGGCTCTTATTGTGGCGGGGTGAGTGCTGCTTTTATTGCAGTGGTCTGAGTCCCGTGACAGGCTCCTCACACTCTGAGTGCACATCCTCAGTGGGAGTTCACAGCCTTCAGGTACAAACAGATGAGGCCCACAGTGGACGTGTGAGGAAACATCGCCCCCTGCTGCCCAAACAGCACACCTGAATGAGCTGGTGTTGCTCTGCCAGAGCTCTGAGCTCTCCTCGCTGCACTGCACAGCTGCACTGTTTAGTCTGTGTCTGACTGTGTTGGTGGTTCTGAAGGACACCGGGATGTTGTGCTTGGAGAAGACTCTCCTGCGTGTCTCTGATAAACCTGCTACATCAGGGATGATGATGCCATGATCCTCACTCGTTGGTGTCCGATCTTCTTTTCTCTGCATCTTTGCTGATTTGATGATAACCACATGTTTTAAGAGCTTCCTTTACGCGTGTGCTCTTTTTTCTTTCTGTTCAGGGTTAGAGGAAGGGCTTTCTGCCCGATGTTGTAGGGTCCTGATTACTCCCAGTTTGTGTTCTCCTGGTCACAACTACAAACCACCATCATGGTGAAGCTGACTGTGATGGGCCGAGCTGAAAAAGCTGGAGTCGTCACAGGAATTATCAGAAAAATGAGGGTTTTCATTTATTTGATCCCCCCCAAAATTATCTTTACAAACCAAAAGATGCTGAGCTCATAAAAGAGGTCAAAGAAACAAAACTAAAGTCAGGCAAAGAACTGAACAAACCAAACGACTGCCCAAAGAAACATAACTGACCTAAACAGGAAATGACACGCAGAGGTATATATAATGGCTGGTCAGACCACTATGACACAACCAGGGTAACTAAACACAACACAGTCATAAACCACAAAATGATGCAGTTCATTCCAGTTTGTTAACACACCAATCAGCAAAGGAGAAAACCAAAACCACTAAACCCTAAACTCAAATATTTAATTAAATACAAATTTTTTTTCCAACAGCGTCTTTATTCATTTTGAACATAGCAGTGTACACATCTGAAGCGTAACAAAACAAGTAGTTAAACTTACATAAACTACAAGCTACACACACTGCCTTTATACACATAACAACATATAGGAGAGGATGAGAAAAAAAACAGCAACAACAAAACAAGAAAAACAACACACAAAAGCAAAACAAACGAACAAGGAGAAAAAAAGGGGGGAATAACTGTGTGCATCTCCCATAAATTATGCATCCTCACAGGTATACGTTAAATGTAAATTAGAAAGTAGTTGTTCAATGTCAAGCAATAAACATATTCCCAAATGGACTGCAGAGGGCCACCTATGGATCCTCCCCAAAAATTTGGGGCAAGTTTTTATTAGCAAGGAAGCTTTTGAAGGGGCCCCAGATGCTATCAAAGCATCATTGCTTGCCCCTGATTGCGTAGGTGATCTTTTCTAAGGGCAGAGTAGATGTTAACTCTGAAATCCATTTACTTCTTCTCGGTCTATCCACCTCTTTCGAAGTAATGGCAATCACTCTCTCAGCCATCAGCAGCCCTGTGTCTAAAAATAAGCGATGTTTCCTTGTTATATTACAGTTAGCTGGACAGGTGCCCAGCAGAAAAAGTTTTGGATCTAAATGCATTTTTATTTCTAATATTTCTTCAGAGATAATATTTCTAATATTTCTAATATTTCTAATATTTCTAATATTTCATTGTTTCACTTCTTCCCAGAATTTCCTAATTTCAGGACACTGCCACAAACAATGGAGAAGTGTGCCCTTTTCCTCGTTGCATTTTTATACAAACATCCGGGATGGTACTGTAGAAAGCATTAAGTTTGACTGGAGTCATATACGTATGCATTAACCAGCTGTACTGCAAGAGATTTAAACGAGTGTTCACTGTTTGTGATTGTGCCCTGGCGCAAGCCCTCTCCCACTCTTCAAGGGAGATGTTCTCCTGTAAGTCTTCTCTCCAGGATTCAAGCTTCTTTACGGACGTTTCTGTAGAGGCAGCCACCAGTTCATTATAGGTTTTGGAAATCAAGCCCCTTCCCCGGCAATCTTTCACCATCATTTCTTCAAGTGTTGATAGGCCAGGAATGGACAAGGGCTGGTTTTGCTGTGCTCTAATAAAATCTCTCAGCTGTAAATATCTAAAGAACTGGCTGCGGACTATGTCATGCTTGACAACAATTTCGTCAAAGGACAGTGTAACATGTTGACTCATGTGTGTATCAGCCACTAGATGGCACTGTGTTGCTGCAATGTGTGTAATTCACTCGCGAGCAAGAAGCTCCAGAGGAAATGGAGAAGTAGAGGAAATAAAGTGGAATCGGAGCAGAGATTGGTGTGTGCGTGCAGTTAATAAGAAGCTCGGTATATAGAGAAAAACAAAACATGGTGTCAGAGTAGCGGTCTTCTACGCAATCCCTCGCCGTCGGACAGCGCAGACATGGAGGCTTACGGCGTTCCCACACCGCGTATGGATTGGGACTCCAGCAACCTGCCCGAGGCATGGCGGCGTTTCAAGCAGCACGCCGAGCTAATGTTCGCTGGTCCTCTCCGGGGGAAGGAGGAGGCAGACAAATGCAGCTACCTTCTTCAATGGGTCGGTGAGAAAGGACGGGACGTCTACAACACGTGGACGCTCACCGCAGACGACTCCCGAAAGCTTCAGACGTACTACGATAAGTACACTGATTACATCATACCGAAAGCTAACCCAATCTACGCCCGATATAAGTTCCATGAAAAGATGCAGGGTGAAAATGAGACATTTGAACAGTTTATTACGGAACTGAAACTACTTGCTAAAGACTGTGGGTACCCAAATACAGATGAAATGGTCAGGGATCGCATTGTATTTGCCACTAACTCGCCACACGTCCGAGAAAAGCTACTCAGCCAAGGCGCAGAGCTCACGCTAGAGAAAGCTATAGATATAGCACGATCACACGAGCTAGCAAAGCAACAGCTAAAAACTATGGGTCACTCCAGGGGCCAAGAAACTGTGCACGCCATCGGCAGGAAATCGCACAGACAAGAATATCAAACAAGAAGCGTGAGACCAAAAGAACACGCTAATGCAACACTAAAAACGTGCAGCTATTGTGCCGGACAACACAGTAATAGAGACACCTGCCCAGCAAAAGGGAAGCAATGTGCAAAATGCAAGAAAATGAACCATTTTGCGAGAGCATGCAGGTCAAGACTCCCTTCGCAGACAAAAGCCCACCTCAAATCAGTACACACTGTGAGAGAGAACATAGAAATGTCAACTATGGACACAGATGAGGACCAAGACTGTTTCTACATTGATAGCATCACCATAGAAAATGAAGGAAGAAATGATGACCAAGCATATGCAGACATGCAGCTTGGTTCCCCCCCACAGACAGTGAGGTTTAAAGTTGACACTGGGGCACAAGCAAACACAATTCCAGCTAACATGTTCCAGACACTCTTTCCACATGTGACACTGAAGCCTGTCACACACAAGCTCACAGATTACGGGGGACACTCACTCAGCATGGAAGGGAAATGCCAGCTAAAATGCAAACATAAAGACAAAACCCGCACGTTGGAATTCCATGTTGTTAACACAAGCGCCCCACCTGTATTAGCAATGAAAGCTTGCCGTGACCTTAACCTGGTAAGGATCGTGATGGCAGTGACGGAGGAAAGAGGCAAGACAACCAACAGTTCACAGGCAATACTAGACGAATATGCAGACGTATTCAAAGGGATAGGAGAATTTCCTGGTGAATGCAGTTTCCATGTAAACCCAGACGTTGCACCCACAGTCAGCCCACCTCGTCGGATTCCCATCGCTCTGCGAGCCCGACTCAAAGACGAGCTCGACAACATGGAAAGGAATCAAATCATATGCAAGGTCACAGATCCTACGGACTGGGTGAATGCACTTGTTGTCGTGGAAAAACCCAAGACGGGCAGACTCAGAGTATGTCTGGACCCCAGACCCCTCAACAAGGCCATACAAAGACCCCATTACCCTCTACCCACCTTAGAGGATGTCACCACAAAACTTGCTGGGGCCAAGTATTTCAGTGTTTTGGACGCCAGATCAGGCTACTGGGCCATTAAGCTAAGCCACGAATCATCTCTGTTAACCACATTTAATACTGTGTTTGGCAGGTACCGCTTCCTCAGGTTGCCATTCGGCATAATCTCAGCTCAGGATGAGTTCCAGTGACGCGTGGACGAGACCTACGAGGGCCTGAGGGGCGTGGCAGCCATTGTGGACGACGTACTGGTCTTCGGAGAAACCAAACAGGAGCATGATGACTACCTGAGGGCCATGCTGCAGCGCAGCGGGGAGAGAGGTGTAAAACTGAACCCTGACAAGTGCACCATCTGCGTCAAAGAGGTCAGTTACTTCGGTCACACATTGTCACACGAAGGGCTGAAACCAGATCCACAAAAAGTAAAAGCAGTCCAAGACATGGCGCCCCCACAGAACAGGGCGGAATTGGAAACAGTGCTGGGGATGGTTAATTATCTAGCAAGATTTGCCCCACACCTGTCAGAGATAAATGCTCCGCTCCGCCAGCTGTTAAAGCAGGACAGTGAGTTTGTATGGGACAAGAACCATGACAGAGCCTTTCAACGAATGAAGGAGCTGATCACTAGAGAACCAGGCCCAGTTCTCTCCTTCTTCGACCCCAAGAAAGCGCTACGACTCCAGGTCGATGCATCCAAAAGTGGCCTCGGTGCTGTGATGCTACAGGACGGCAAGCCAGTCGCCTACGCATCCAAGTCACTCAACAGCACTGAGCAGAACTATGCCCAAATCGAAAAAGAGCTGTATGCTGTTCTCTTTGGTTGCAAGCGGTTCCACGAGTACATGTACGGTCGACATGTGACCATTGAGTCGGACCACAAGCCACTTGAGTCCATACTCAAAAAAACACTAGCATTAGCACCACCACGGCTACAGAGGATGATACTACAGCTGCAAAAGTACAACATCAGCATCATCCACAAG